AAGATAATATAATAATACATATATATGTATATATGTATACGTATACATATGTATTGATTCCTTTGCCAGCATTAAAAACAAAAAAACACAAAACAAAAGTTTAGCACAGAAATCAAAAAACAAGAAATATATAAAATTTTAACTCAAGCAAAAAGAAAATAGAAGTAAAAAAAAATAAAAAATAGGTTAAGCTGTCAGCAAATAACGAACGATTAAGCATAAGAAAAAAGATAAAGAGAGAATGGAAAACGAGGCAGACGAGGAACAGATTAAGAAGAGGACAAGCAGAAAGGAAATATTAAAAATAAGTTTCATATATAATTTTTGCATTGTTTTTTCCTAACACATACAAATATTTACAATTAAAATTAAAAATATAATTATAAATAAAAAGACGAATTAAAAAATAAAAAGGAAATATTTTATTTATTTATTGGGCAAACTTTGTATTTCAGCGATCAAACAACTATTTGGAGAGTTGACTGAGCTATACACCCTGTATACAGGGTGCTCTACAATGCTGATGCGATGTAGATATGTATGGGTGTCTTTGCATAAAGAGAGAAATATATATATTCATTTAATACATCGTAAGTCGGCTATAGATACCCAACACACACACACACTAATATGTACAATAAGCACACACACACACACACTCATACACAGATGACCGCATACACATATGAGCGCATAATTATGAAATGATGCAAGTTTTATTCAAAACTTGCGCCCAAAATAGGCGAGCGGAACGAAAAGGCTACAAAATATGCTAAATGCGCACGTTGTCGTCTCTCAATCTCTCTCTTTCTCGCCATCCTTCTCTTTCTTGGCACAGTGTCTACACAGTGCTGAGGTTTTATCCTAACCCAAATTCAGCATGCTTAACAGCTTCACACCTGTTAGCGTAACAGCTCTTGTACGTCCTATGCTAACATTGCTGTTACGCATCTGTAAACGCGAATAGAATGTTAAGCCGAAATAGACATACATTTCCGATATTTCGTAGTCAAAATTTGTAGCAGCGCAATCTTGGCATTTGTCCCACTGTGCCAATCGCCAAGGGCTCGCTGGGCGAATCGAGTGTTGCCTACTTTTGCGGGCGCTGCGCAAATTATTAAAGTTAAGTAAGAAGAAGAAGCTGCTGCACCAGCAGTGGCAGCAGCAGCAAAACTTTTGGCTGAAAACCAAAAATTGTTGCTGCCAACTTTATTGAAAATGCTTCTCGCAAAACTTGAGCTAAACAAAAAACTTTTTACCAATACGCTTGTCAAGAGTATTATGACTCGTTATGACCATGTTGTCCAGACCCGCCCACCAGCCCATCTCAGCGCCCCGCTCCTCCCCTGCTCAGCCGCCAAACTTGCTTGCTCTCTAATTGCACGATGCTGAGAGCTGCCACAGCTGCAGGCACTTAGATCGGCCGCAATGGGGAGAACTAGAAGCTTGAAGCTATTTAAAAGTCAATCTATGCTAAGTTAATGTTAAGTATGCTATGCTAAGTCGCCGTTAAGTAATATCTGGAGCCAGAAAACAAAATCGAAATGAGCTCGGATGGAAATGCAAATGCATTAGCAAAACGTATGTTAAGTCACTGTTAAAGCTTGAGGCAAATCCGATTCAAAAGTAAAACTTTTTTTAAGGCTGTTAGCGATATATGTAATAATTATGACAATCTTAACAAAAGCAAGCCATGCTAAAGCTATTTGAAAGTCAGGTTAGGTCTATCATAGTGATATTTAAAAGCAACTCCAAATAAGTCGGAGAGCTCAACGTGTTTCTGGTATTAAATCAACTAGAAATTGAGCCACGAACTTTTCTATGCTTCATTCAAGTCAAGTTTACAATTTGCATTCTAAAATTGATTGAACGCCAAAGATTGATTTCTTGTCGAGCAGTTGTCGAGTGTAGGGTATCACCGAGTGGGCGGGAGCTGGGAGCCGGCTGCAGGCGGGGGTAGTTGCAGGGTATTGGCCAATCAATTTGATACACGAATAATCTCGACACTTGGAAAACTACTTTGGATCAAGTCAGCCAAAAACTTTTAATAGCTGCAAACCTCCCTCCGACGAGCCCTCACCCCGCCTCCTTCGGTGCCTGTTCGCCCTCCTTGGACGTGTTTAATCAACTTTGAGAGTTTAATGGCCAACAGCTATTAGTTTGATTCCCCTCCCTCCATCCCACCGTCCCTCCATCACGCTCTCCCTCGCCCTCTCTCTCTCTTTCTGTGTCGGCCTCTCTGCCTCACTCGCCCATTCGATATGCCTCATTAGATGCAACTTAAAGGACAAAATGTAAAACTTATATTGAAATCAAGTTTTCGACAAGCTTTTTACACACAGCAACATGTTAACGTTAACCTACAACCTACGTGCGTGTGCGTGTGCGTGTGTGTGTGTGTGTGTGTGTGTACATGCGTACATGTGTGGCTCTGGGTGTGCGTGCAGAGAGAGGTCGCACGGCCAGCAGCAGGCGGCGTCGCTTTTGACAACATGTTGCCCCCGAAAAGTTTTACGAGAAATTCGCCTTAAAGACGCATAAAAAACTTTAAATGCAACAGCAGCGCAACAAACCAAAGAGTCTGCTCGACCAGCAGATACCCTACTTAGCTAAACAGCTGTGAAGCTCTAATCAAGCGATTTATAATGGTTTTATAATTTGTAAATGAAATGTACGAAATTTGTAGAATAAGAAAATGGATAAGGGATAAACGAAAAGACAAAGGAAAACAGAAGAAAGAATTCCATAGATTGACAAAAACTTGTAGATATACCAGAATTTCACGTACTCACACTACACGAGGCAACGAGAGGTAGAGATAGAGAAAGAGAGAGAGAGAGAGAGAGAGAGAGAGAGAGAGAGAGAGAGAGAGAGAGAGAGAGAGAGAGAGACAGACAGAGGGTGAAACATAGGAATAAACAAATGGATAATCAGATATAGTACATGCGGTTAAGCTCCTTAAGGGATAGACTAACGGATTGTCTGATAATCAGGCGGACAGCTAGAAACAAGATAAACGGATAAGCTGATAAAAGAGCAAACACATACATACATACTACAGATGGATAAATAGATAAGCAGTGATAAGTGAAAGAGCTGATGAAGGTATATGTGCATGATATAAAATATATATGGATACAACAACGAATAGACTATGCGATAGACGAACGACAAATGGATAGATGGACAGCCCGAAATGGAGAAAAGGTTGATAAAGCGATAAAGATACAAATATCAATCAATAATCGACAGATAGCCAAATATAAGTATGAGCGAACGAAGAAAAATAAAAACAAGACAGATCTGCGAATATCGATGGCTACTAGGTAAGGCATACGCCCCATAGATACTGTGCTGGTAAGCTCAAAAGTAGAACTCAAAAATAACGAAGACGAAGAGGAAGAAGAAGAAGTAGAAGGAGAAGGAGAAGCAACAGCAACAGCGAAGGCAGCAGCCGATGATGAGCAACACAGAAAGAGAGCTGAAGGTGAAAGAGGCAAGGATATGTGTGGAGCAGGCGGGAAGGGGAGGAGACAAGCCTGACGCAGGAGGCAGGAGGCAGGAGGTAGTCGGAACGGAGCGGACAGAGGGGAGGTTTGGTTCGCTTGGCAACTTTATCTACAAATTGGACAGTTTGACAGCTCAAAGACTTTTTCATAAACTAGCGTAACTTTTCGTGTTGCTGGCGCTAACCAAAAATGAAAACGAAAAGTAAACAGCAACAACAACAACAACAACAACAGCAGCAGCAAGTAAAGCTGCAGCAACAACAACAGCAACAGCAACGGAATGGCAACAAGCAAACGAGAGTTGCCAGAGCTTTGGCAGAGTTGCCAGAGTTTTTATAGTGCACATTTCATAGATTTACAATTTGTATAGCGAAACAAATAGCAACAAGAAAAAGAATAAGAAGAAGCAGAAGCAGAAGAAGAACAAAACAAGTAAAACAGCAGCTGCAGCTGCCTCGCAGCTTAAAATCAAAGCAGCGCAACGCGATTCGAACCACGATTCGCAAATTCTCTATCTCTATCTCTATCTCTATCTCTATCTCTATCTCTATCTCTATCTCTATCTCTATCTCCATCTCTATCTCTATCTCTATCTCTATCTCTATCTCTATCTCTATCTCTATCTCTATCTCTATCTCTATCTCTATCTCTATCTCTATCTCTATCACTATCTCTATCTCTATCTCTATCTCTATCTCTATCTCTATCTCTATCGGCTGTTCACTTACATATTGTAAAGAAATATTCTTTGTCTTTGTTAGTTTNTAAAAAAAAGAAGGAAAATATAAGCTCAGCTGCCGCTGCTGCTGCCTCGACCCAAATGTCATCGAAATGGCGCTGAGTTCAAAAACAAAGCGCATGGCCCCAATATGCAGAAGCTGCGCAAGATTAACTAAGCAAAAGGCAAACAGAAGTGCAGCTGAATCTAGTGCATAGTAGGGAGTGCACGGCTAGGGTATACCCGGCCAGCAAATGTCAGAGATTTATACAGGACTTTGTAGTTCCTATCCATACATTTCTAATCTACCTCTACCTCTACCTCTACCTCTATCTCTATCTCTATCTCTATCTCTATCTCTATCTCTATCTCTATCTCTATCTCTATCTCTATCTCTATCTCTATCTCTATCTCTATCTCTATCTCTATCTCTATCTCTATCTCTATCTCTCTATCTCTATCTCTATCTCTATCTCTATCTCTATCTCTATCTCTATCTCTATCTCTATCTCTATCTCTATCTCTATCTCTA